CCCCAAAACCCCAAAACCCCAAAACCCCAAAATCTGACTTAAAATTGATGAAAATAGAATTGCTTTAGATCTGAAGTCCTGGCAGCTCGAACTGTCTTGCAAAGTCCCTTACTTCTTGGGATATCTTCTTGACCTCGTCACTCTCTGTGAGTCCTCTCTTGAAGGCTGAGAGCTTCTTGCCTCTTTCATTTTGGATTTTAAGAGCTTCTTGAAGGATTCTGTCTAAGAAGCTAGCGACATCTTCCATGTGCTCTTCTTTGTATCCACGGGTAGTTCAAGCTGGGTTTCCAAGTCTGACTCAGTAAGGATCTTGAGCTGATCTGTCTATAGCTGATAGGTTTGTTTTTAGAATAATATTTGCTTGATCTCAAATAGCCTCAAACTTTAGTGCTGTTAATCCATATGGACGAAGGTTCCACGCAATAATGGGATTATTAGTAAAATTTGTTATGATCAGGTGGTCTCTTCTGATCATTTCTTCACATAATTTCTTTGAATTATTTATTGCCTGTTTTAGGTGCTCCATGAACTCTGGCTGCTTTGATTGATGTATACCATTTCTGTTACTAGAAATGGTTTGATTGGAAGAGTCTTCTTGCATTTTTAGGTTTAATCTTTCCTCATCTATATCTAAGGACACCTTTTCGGTGGAAATATAATCTTCGAAAAGATCTATTTTTGATTTATTCATTATTGGTGTTACAATATCATCAGATCCATAAATACTTTGCAAACATTCTGAGGAATAATTTTCTTCTGGGATGAAGAGGTCTCCAATACTGTTCCTAATCCTTCGAAATCTTTGATGGCCAAGGTCTGCTGAGGAAGGTGAACACTCTCTGATAATATTGTCTACGTTAAGATCTTGCCCAGTCTCAGAACTAAGATTATGACCATTATAGTCTTTCTCTGTTAAAATATCAGGATTTGTCTCTTCATAAAACTTTTCTTCTGAAATATGACTGATAGAAGTCTCAGACTCAGAGATAAACAATTCTTCAGAACGAAGGTCTAGCCCAGATAATATTTCGTAAGGAGGGATTGACCAAGAATGATCTTCAAAGCTAGCTGGAATTCCTGATGAGAAATCAAGGCTAATATCCCGATCTGCAGGATCAGTCCCGTATGTCTGGGCAAATCTTCTCTCATTGTAAGTTTCTATATTTTCAATGGATGTATACTCAACAAGATGCCTAAAATTTTGATTGCCTCGGCTATCTTGACCAAGGGTATGAGAGATAACTTCTTCAATGGTAGTCTCTGACGAAAATTCTTCATATTCGTCAAGGATTATATCATCATTTTGCATGTGAAATTCTTCTTTGGGAATAGAGTCTATCTCTGGCTTTATCTTCTTTTCATGCTCATTAGTAATTTTCTCTCTTAAAGTGGAGAAGCTAGCACAGGCTTTTCTTGAAGAGCCAGTTTTCAACACCGGCGATAACCTTTTTGTAAAGTTTGTAATGTAAAACATACCAAATGTTCTTGGATCTCGATAAAATTCTTGCAATCTTATTATTGTTATGTCAATTATTAAAATTTCCAATGGGGTTTTGGGGTTTTGGGGTTTTGGGG